CCAAAGGCAAATCCCCACTTTGTTCTCTGAGATAACACAAAAATAATAGGGACATCTTGCCTAGTCTTGCGCCCCAAATAAATGGACATTTCCCATAAGCTGCTGATTTCTTAATGAGAACAGCTTTGTCCCTAGTGTGTGGAATGCTGATGTCTGAAGATACTGTAGGCCCGTGAGGCTGGCTTCAGTGATTTCATGAGAAAATGGCTGTTTTTCCCAAGAACAGGCTAATGAAAACTCAGTAACCTTGGTGATTATGAGTGTGTGTATGTTTCCCTTTAAGTTCCTGGCGTCTCTGTGTGTGTTTATTACGATGAGCCAGGTCTTTTGAAATCTGACCAGTTTACACCTTTTTTGCAAGAAGCAACTTTTCTATCAATGCATGTTTCCAAGCCCGAGTCTTCCTGCCACGTGGAACATGGAGGAGGGGATTTTTGAGCCGTGGCCTGAAGGACTGTCTGAGCAGCTCCATGTAGGGACGGGTGGGTGACAGGGGAGAATTCTAGGCAGTAAGAACAGGTGTATAGGGATGGGATGCCTAGACTCGAGGAAACAAGAATTGCCCTGAGCCCCCAGGTTTCCTTCTTGTACCCAGGAGAGCTCTGGGTGTGACTCTAGGAAGTGCAGTTGATGGTAATCTCTGACTTGCAACCAAAAAAATCCTAAAGACCTACCTAGGTAAATCGCTTTGCCTCACACTGAGCCTCTGCTTCCTTAGCTGTGAAATGGAGACAGTGATCCTGACCTTAGGTGGCTACAAGGATTGGAGATTGAGTCATGAATAAGAACATGGGGCACTTTGAGGGGCCAAGGTGGGCAGATCACTTGAGGTCTGGAGTTCTAGACCAGCCTGATCAACAGGGTGAAACCCCGTCTCTACTAAAAAACATACAAAAATTAGCCAAGTGTGGTGGCAGGCACCTGTAATCCCAGCTACTTGGGAGGCTGAGGCAGGAGAATCGCTTGAAGCCGGGAGGTGGAGGTTGCAGTGAGCCAAGATATTGCCATTGTACTCCAGCCTGGGCTACAGAGCAAGACTGTCTCAAAAAAAAAAAAAAAAAAAAAAAAAAAAATACCACATAGGGCCAGCCATGGTGGCTCACGCCTGTAATCCCAGCACTTTAGGAGGTCAAGGCAGGTGGATCACGAGGTCAGGAGTTTGAGACCAGCCTGGTGAATATGGTAAAACTCCGCCTCTACTTTTATACAAAAATTAGCAGGATGTGGTGGCTCACACCTAAATCTCAGCACTTTAGGAGGCTGAGGTGGGTAGATCACTTGAGGTCAGCAGTTCCAAACCAGCCTGGCCAATGTGGTGAAACCCCCTCTCTACTAAAAACACAAAAATTAGCTGGGTGTGGTGGCATGCACCTGTGGTTCCAGTTACTCAGGAGGCTGAGGCAGATTAGCTTAAACCCGAGAAGTGGAGGTTGCAGTGAGCTGAGATTGCACCGGGTCATCCACTGTAGATCCATATTCCAGCTTCATCATGCTAGTCCTGTAACCATGCACTAGTTACTTTACCTCTGTAAGCCTTAGTTTCCTCATCTGTAAAATGGGGATAATTAAAACCCCAGAGGATTGTTTTGAGAATTAAATAAGGCATGTGAAGTGTTTAGCTGTGCCTGGCACATAGTAAGTGCTCAGCAAGGCTCCCAGCCTCCTCTGCTCCTCCCACACCTCCAGGCAGGCGGTCTGGGTTTGCAGAAACCAATAACTGTGACCTACCCAGAGGAGAAGAAGGAGGATGAAAATAGGGAACCAACTGATCTTACAAGCAGGTAGTAGGAATCTCAGTAAATGCCAGTTGAATTTGGGCCTGTTTCTGTCTGAAGAGACAATTCCTTAGCTACATGACGCACTCAAAATACTCATCCAGAAAGCCAGGGATTCCCATGGGAAATCAGCCCTTCCCCCTCCTCCTGGGCACATCTGAACATGTGGGGGGACTGCTCTGAGAATCTGAATAACAGTTGAGAAAAATCTCCCCAGATGCCTTACAGATCTCTAGGATGACGCATGGTAGAGCGGGGTTCAGCCCTGGATGGGTTTCTGCAAACCCAAACTGAATGCCTGGAGACGTGGGAGCAGCAGAGGAGGCTGGAGCCTTGCTGAGCATGTGCCTTCTGCGTCCTGGTGGGCCGGCTTCTGTGACTCCTGTTTCCTAAGCCAAGTGCTCTCAAGTTTGGAGTGGTAGAGATGATGGTCTCTATGTTAGGACAGGACATGCAGACAAAGGGATGTCCGCGCCACCCAGGGGGCTGGCCTTGAATCTGGTATGGAACAGCAGTAAGCCCCCTTTACCAAGCACCAACTAAGCGCCAGGTGCTCCATGGGATGACTGACACGCACCACTGCTGATCCCCACACCACTCTGCCAGACCTGAACCCATGTTTTTGAGAGGGTAGTTTTTTCCACCTAAGCTCTGTGAGGTTGGTGCTCTATCTATTAGCTGTCAACTCCCTAAAGCCTAGCCTAGTGCTTAGCACACAGTAGGTGCTTAACAAATATGAGCTAGTGGAGTGAATTTGATCTTGATAATTCTCTGCTTAAAAGGTCTCATCTGGGATACTGCTTTGATTGAAAACATCCAACCAGAAGGGGATGAAATAAGGTAAGAAAAAAAAAAATAGGAGCTCTGCTAAAAATAGAACTACCATTCATTCCATTAATCCCATTAAAGGGCATATATACCCAAAGGAATAGAAATCATTATATCATAAAAAGACATGCATCTGTATGTTCACTGCAGCACTATTCACAAGAGAAAAGACATGGAATAAATCTAAATGCCCATCCATGGTACACTGGATAAAGAAAATGTGGTACATATGTACCATGGAATACTATGCAGCCATAAAAATGAATGAGATCATGTTCTCTGCAGGAGTATGGATGGAATTGGAAGCCATTATCCTTAGCAAATGAATGCAGGTACAGAAAATCATATAGCATACACGCTGTCATTTATAAGTGGGAGCCGAATGATGAGAACTCATAAACGCAAAGAGGAGAGCAGCAGACACTGGTGCTTACTTGAAGGTGGAGGATGAGAGGATGAGAGGAGGTAAAGGATCAGAAAAAGTGACTATTGAGTACTAGGCTTAGTACTTGGGTGATGAAATAATCTGCATAACAAACCCCTGTGACACGAGTTTACCTGTATAACAAACCTGCATATATACGCCTGAACCTAAAATAAAAGTTGATTTTGTTTGTTTGTTTGTTTGTTTTTAAGGAGGAGCTCTGGAGTTGGAAAAAGATATGTCAAAATCCTCATTCTAGGGCGAGCTATTCCACTTTTCTCTAAATCCACTCTCCTCATCTGAAACTGGAGGCAGAGCTACCAGCTCCATGGGGTGATTATGAGGGTGGAAGGGATACGTAAAACTGTGCAAGAAATGGGCAGAGAGCTAGGCCTTCCCAGATGGTGGCTACTGCTTTGCTACTATTGCAATGACTATGATGATTATGTCATTCACATTTATGCGCAGCTCTGAGTTACGAGGCATTTTCACCAGGTCATCTCCTCTCACTCTCTGGGCACTGGGCATGTTCTGAGGCCAAGTGCTGTCAAGGACCCCAGAGCTTTGGCTGGGATCTGCCTGGGCCCTGCTTCCTGCCAGGTTGGACCCAGGCCTCTGTACTGGCCTTGGCTCTGTTGCTTTGCTGGGTACTGTGCTGGGCGTCATTCCGACCTCTGCCTGCGTGAAGGCCCCTTGGCTAAGCTCCTGGCCTCCCGGGCACCATCGTCTCACCCAAGCACCCTCAGAGCCTGCCCCACTCTGCCTTTCCATCAAGGTGTACTTCTGTTCTCCAAGCAGGGGAAGAAAGGAATGGTCCTGTTTTTCAGATAAGGACACAGTCTTGGTGATAATGGTGCCTTGGCTGAGATCTTAGCTAAGGATTAGTTACAGAGGCCTGAATCCAGCTAAGGCCTTCTGGCTGCTAATTGACTATGAAGTTCTAGTTTGTGTTCAGGAGATAGAAGCTGCCATTTAGTGGTATCCTTATGGAATATGAGACCCCATAGTAGATATAAGAGTAAGTTGTGGGGATAGTTAGTAGGTACAAGTAGTTAGAAAGAGTGAATACGACCTAGTATTTGATAGCACAACAGGGTGACTACAGTCAATAATATATATATTTTTTTTTTTTTTTTTTTTTTTTTTTTTTTTGAGACAGAGTCTCACTGTGTCACCCAGGCTGGAGTTCCGTGGTCCAGTCTCGGCTCACTGCAACCTCCGCCTCTTGGGTTCAAGTGATTCTTGTGCCTCTGCCTCCTAAGTAGTGGAGATTACAGGCACGCCCCACCACGCTCGGCTAATTTTTGTAGTTTTAGTAGACACAGGGTTTTGCCATGTTGCCCAGGCTGGTCTCAAACTCCTGGCCTCAAGTGATCTGCTCACCTTGGCCTACCAAAGTGCTGGGATTATAGGTGTGAGCCATGGTGGCCAGCCCATAATAATTTAATTTTACATTTAAAAGTAACTAAAAGAGGCTGGGTGTGGTGGCTCACACCATTTTGGGAGGCTGAGGCAGGCAGATCACCTGAGGTCTGGAGTTCGGGACCAGCCTGGCCAACATGGTGAAAGCCTGTCTCTACTAAAAATACAAAAATTAGCTGGGTGTGGTGGTGGGCATCTGTAATTCCAGCTACTCCAGAGGCTGAGGCATGAGAATTGCTTGAACCCAGAGGCTGAGATCGCGCCACTGCGCTCCAGCCAGGGTGACAGAGGGAGACTCTGTCTCAAAAACAAAAACAAAAACAAAAAAACCCCCAAAAACTTAAGAGTATAATTTTATTGTTTGTAATACAAAGGATAAAAGCTTGAGGATGGATACCCCATTTTCCATGATGTCATCATTATGCATTGCATGCTTGTATCAAAAGATCCCACACATCCCATAAATACATACACCTACTATGTACCCATACCCATACACACAAACACCACAAACAAAAAAATTGTGCCTACTTCATTGGCTGCTGTGAGAATTAAACAAAACGATGTCAGTAAAAACACTTAGCAAAGAGAGAAAAAAAGGATAAGCTGTATGCTGTTTATCAAATAGCTCTAGCTCTCTGTCTCTGAGCACATAGTAGGAAGACATTTACTGGCCCCTCCTTTATGTGAAGAATGTCTCCATGCCTGGCTTTGGCCAATGAAGTGTTTGTAAAAGTTACATTTGTTACTTCTGTGTGAAGGTGCTTTAAGGGCCAGTGCATAACTCACCACATTCTCTGTCTCTTACTGAGGAACCATACATTGATATGGAGCTCCCTCGACCTCGGTGTCTACAACAACCAGGGTTCCCCTGGCTACCAAGATAGCATGAGTGAGAAATGAACCTTTGTTGTACCACACCTCTGCAATATTGGAGATGTTTGTCACTGCAGCATAACCCAGGCTGTCCTGACTGATACACCGTGAATGTTGATAACATTCAACTTCAAGTTCTGTTTACTTATAGAGCATGTACTCTCTGTTGGCTTTATTCCAGGTACGGGAGGCACAGAAGTGAGTCAGACACAATCCCTGCCCTCAGGAGGCTTGTAGTCTCAACACTCATTTGAAAGGAAGCTGACCACACTGAGCTAGAGGGAAGGGCAGGCCAGGCTGTAAGGGGCACCTTGGGAAGGGTGGCAATCCCTAGAGGAGCCACCCCTGGGATTTGCAGAATCACCCTAAAAGGGAGAGGAAGCTGTGAAGACAGTTAATTCTACAGGCAGCTTTTCCTGGGGAGGGGGGTTAGGAGGGACGAGTATGTTAGGGGCAGTGGAGAGGGGAGGCTGGTTAAAGGATTATGTGCTCTGGATGACTGTGGGATTTACTGCTCCATTTCCTTACTAGCTCTCAAGGGACTCCAGAAAACAATTAGTGGATTCACATGCATTACAGTAATTCCTCTTTTATATCCCTTAACTCAGATAATGACAGCTATCCTGCAATTAGGAGAGGGTCTTCTCAGTGTGCAGATGAATTGGGTGTTACACAGCAGGGCTGCCTGAAACCAGGCAGTGGAGCTGGGAGGAATTCCATGTGAAACAGCAGCCCTGGGCAAAGGGTGAAGTATTCACTGACAGTCTTGACCATGTGGAGATGTGGACATGCTCCATTGATAATACAAGGCAACGACCTGGGAGGGGAATTGTTGAGGAAAAGGGTAGATAGGAGACCGTGTGGCCATGGGAAGGGACGGGAACTGGAGGCCCTGACCCTGGGGGAGGCCAATTTTTCCTCAACGAGGTCTAGGGTCCATGCCATCCATGAGGGAGGTGTTGCTATCATATTACATGCCTACTCCCATTTATTAACAGTTTCTAGGAAATGATCAATGCTCAGTGAGTATTTCTGGATTCTCACTATAGGCCAGCATTTATATGCCCTATTGCCTAAACACAATCCTCCTAAAAAAAAAAACAAAAACCACCTGATGTAGATACTATTAACGGCTGTGTCTCACATAAGCGTTCAGAGAGGTTACGTGACTGGCTTCACGGTGGGTTTGGAATTCAAACCAGAAGCCTGACTCCAGAGCTCACATACTTGTTGCAACTAAGCTGGCAGCTTCTCAGCGGGGAAGAGCCGTGTGACCCATCATCTGTGACGGCAGAGGCCTGCTCCTTGCTGCGTCCTGCTGGGCCAGGCCCCGAGTGCGAGTGCATTGTTGTGGTCACAAGTATGTCCTTATGTCCCTGTTTTGGTTTGTTCTGCCTTGTGCTTTGTGGGGTGGGTTAAGGCAGACTGGCAAGAAGGACTCTGCTCTGGTCCCCACCAGCTTCCTTGGCCTCAGGTCCCCAAACGGGGGAGGTCAGACTCCAGTGCTTGGCTCTCGAGACCAGGACCTTTCTGTTCCCCTCTGCAGGTGGGTGGTGTTTTGTTTAAAACTCCCCACTTCTGTGAACCATCAGGGGTTCCTTTACCCTCTGGAAAGAAAAAGGAAAATGGGATATAAATGGCTTTGAGACCCAGCATGAGAGAGCTCTTCCTTCCACCTGGAGTTGCTGTGAAGGCCGATGGGGGCAGTGGGGGTTTTAAACTGAGCAGGGCCTGTGCACCCACCTACACGGGAGGAGCCGCCTTCTGTTCCACAGAGAGAGCCGGCCACGTGTCTATGAATGGTGTGCACAGCTGCTGCTCACATTTGGCATAAGCCATGGCCAACTAAGGGACAGACCCCTCTCATTGTGGCTTTTACTCTGTCGCCAGGCTGGAGTGCAGTGGCACGATCATGGCTCACTGCATCCTTAACCTCCTGGGCTCAAGTGGTCCTCCTGCCTCAACCTCCGAAGTAGCTGGGACTACATGCATGTGCCACCATGCCTAGCTAATTTTAAAATTTTTTGTAGAGGCAAATTATGTTGCCCAGGCTGGTCTTGAACACCTGGGCTCAAGCAAGCAATTCTCCCATCTCAGCCTCCAAAAGTTCTGGGATTACAGGCATGAGCCGCTGGACCTGGTTTCAATGTGTTCTTGACCAAGGTCAAGGCAGAGGATAACCAGCGTGCTTTCTCATCTCCTGTCTAGATGAGGAATGAGACAGGGATGGGAAGTTATGGCATAAGGGGGGAAACGATCAGGCTCATTAATAATAAAGACTATGGGGCCCAGGCATGGTGGCTCATGCCTGTAATCCCAGTGCTGTGGGAGGCTGAGGCAGGAGGATCCCTTGAGACCAGGAGTTTGAGACCAGCCTGGACAATATAGGGAGGCCCTGTCTTTAAAAAAGTAAAGACCGGGGTTAGAGTTTTCTGGGCCCAAATTCTTCCTTCTGAAGGTGACGAAAGGGGGCAAATGCCAGCTGTACTTTTGTCCACTGGGTTCATCTCGGAGTCAGATTCCTATCAAATTCTTGTCATTTGGAAAGCGTTGGGTCTTAGTTTCTTCTACTTCTTTTAAAATGTAGAAGTTTTCTTTTTTTCTTTCTTTTCTTTTCCTGTTTTGCGGACTAACTGCTCATCTGTCAATATAGAGGTTTCCCAGGCCGGGCGCGGTGGCTCATGCCTGTAATCCCAGCACTTTGGGAGGCCGAGGCAGGCAGATTACTTGAGGTCAGGAGTTCAAGACAAGACTGGCCAACATGGTGAAACCCCGTCTCTACTAAAAATACAAAAAATGAGCTGGGTGTGGTGGCGGGCACCTGTGATCCCAGCTACTCGGGAGGCTGAGGCAGAAGAATTGCTTAAATCTGGGAGGCAGAGGTTGCAGTGAGCTGAGATTGTACCACTGCACTCCAGCCTGGGCAACAAGAGCAAAAAAAAAAAAAAAAAAATAACAAAAAAGTTTTCTAAATAAAATGTTGAAGACCTGTGGTGCCCATATTAAAAGGACTCCCTTCTACTCTCAAATGTTTGTCATTATCTGTGCTAAGCACTGAGGACACGCGTGGCTGAGCAGGGCAGGCACTGCCCCGACACAGAATTGATTCCTCCACTTGGCTCATGGGTCATGTGTCCATCAAGTACCTCGTATGTGCCAGGCACTGTGATAGGCTCAGGATATAGTGACAAGGAGAAACAGGACCCCTGGCCACCTTCGCCCCGTTTGTGGGCTGGGCTGTATACCAGAATTGCCCAGGGGAACTATTTCCAAAATAGGGGTGCCTGATCCCTTCCATGTAAGGGCTTCATGTATGTGTTTGGGGAAAAGAATGGCCACCTGGTGCTGATGTGTGCCTCTAGGTGACAGTTACCAGTGGACTGGACAGACAGACGAGCAAGCAGGGGGATCTAACAGGGAGAGAGACCACCGCTGGGAAGGATGTTCAGGGAAGAATGGAGTGTGGCTTGGAGAGACAGTCTAGAGTACGGGTGAAGACCACACAATCTCCAGCCAGAATGCCTTTTCTGCCACCTCCTAGATGTGTGATTCGGGCAAATCCCTAAGCTCGGTACGTCTTTTTCCTCCTCTGTAAAATGGATGTGATAACAGTGCCGACCTCACAGAGCTGTTGGAAGGACTTCATGAAATAATACATAAGATGAGCTTAGAAGTGTGTCTGGTGCCTTGAAAACACAGTGTGCCACACAGTGTGTGCTGCTGCAGCTACTGCTGCTACTATTACTAATATTATCTTTATTACTGGAGGGAAAGCTCCAGACACAGTGAGACCTGAGAAATGAGTAGGAATCACCTAGAAAAGGAGATGGGGAGGACGGACCAAGAGGAAACACTGTCTGGAAATAGAGCTTGGTCGGCTGGAGCCGGGCATGTGAGGCGGAGAGAGGCGGGGAAGATGCTGAAGGCAGATCACGAGTGCGGCCCCGTGAGTCATGCTGGGACATCTGCACTGGTTTAGAGAAGGGTGGGGACGTTAGAAGCCCTTGGGGTCTGCCGAGTTGCTGCGGTGTGTGTGCAGATGCGTGTATGAATGTGGGCAGGTGTGTGCGTGTGTTTGCACGTGTGTGTGTGTGTGTGTGTGTGAACTGTAAGATGCTCATACCTGTACCCCCTCAGGTCCTCCTTGGCAGGGTCCACTCCGTGACTCATTCACTCCACAGTTTAAAGACCTCAGCCTTTTCCCCAGCGTTGAAACAGTTGTTCCCAACTCCTTAGCCTGGCGCAGTGCCAGGCTCCCCACCCCCCCGACCTGTTAGCATTTCCCACCACCCCACCTGGGGGGCCTCTTACGTAGGCTGCAGAGACACCAGATGCCACCATTTCTAGACACTCCTGAGAGCCTTTTGCCAGTGCTGTCCGACCCTCTGGGAGGCCTTGCCCTAGTCCAGCTGCCCTCTGCCAAATACAGCATGGTGATTAGGAGTGAAGGCTCCAGAGCAAGACTCGCTGGACCTGAATCCTGGCTCTGGCACTTAGGATTCTTGTCGCTTCACTTCCCAGCCTAGTGTTCCAGTCTGAAGCAGGGAGACTGGCGGTTCCTCCCTCCTAGGGCTGCAGTGAGGAAGGAATGGGATAATACTTGCAAGTGGTCAGAACAGAGCCTGGCACTCAGTGGGTCTGCACTAGCTTGTGCGCACAGCAGCATGTGCCTGATTCCCTTGCCTGAAGTCCAGCCCCTCCATCTTCCCGGGCACTGTGCTGGGCACTGGTGAGGCGGCGGGGCTCAAGGCAGACCCTGCCTACCTGGAGTTCATGTCCAATGTGGGACTGGAGAGCAGACACAAAATGATAAGTTCTGACCTCTACACAACACTCGCCATGGTTCCCTGTGCACAACAGGTTCTCAGGTTGGAATTCAGAGGACATTTACTGAGGGGCCCAAAGTGGGGCCAGGAACTTACACACTCATCATGTCATCCCCCCTCACGATCCTTTGCAGTAAGTGTACAAAGCCCATATCCTTTGAGGAAGTGGAGGCCCAGAGAGGCTAAGTGACTAGCCCAAGGTCCCACAGCTAGTCAGTGGCAAAGCTGGGAGCCAAATCCAGGTCTGCCTAATACAAAAACCCAGATTCTCACCCGTGGGCCATGAGGATCCAGGGGTGGGAACAGCAAGCAGGAAAGATGCTGGAAGGAAGCTGCTTTGGGAAACATCCCCCAAAAGCCTGTAGTGCAGGAACTTCCCAGTATCATACTAACCAGCCCTGTCACCAAGAGGCCGCCTGCCTCCCTCCTCCCTCTTGCCAGTTTCCAGCCTCACATTCTGGGGACAGCTGATAGGCAACTTAACTTCCGGTTACCACGGCCAAATGGTTAATGGCAATTAATTCAATTTGTTTGGCAGGGGAATTAAAGGCTTGGCTGTACTAACGATCTAAACTTGGCATTTATGCTAACTGGAGGAAGAGACATGCCTTCTCCTCTAAATGAAGAATTGGTTCTATCAATAAGACTACATCTCTCTAGGTAATGTGCCCGACAGATACATGGTTTGCTGCCAGGGTGGAGGGAAAGATGACAAGGAAAGAAGCAGAATGATGACAGCAGAGGCAGCTTTTCAAAGGCTTCCCTGGGAGAAGCAGATCTGGAGAGCAGGGAGGAGTCTGCATTGGGCGACAGCCAGCACCGATGGCCAGACACACGAGTGAGGTCCACCTGGACCTTCTGGGTGTTCCGGCTCTGTCTACAACTGTATGCCTAAGCCCAGGCAAGAAAAGAGAACTGTCGTGTCAACTCATGGACCTGTGAGAAATGGTCAGTCACTGCTGCTTTGGGCCACCATGTCTGGAGAGGCTGTTTTTCAGCAACAAATAACAATCACGGTGGAAGGCAAAGGAGAAGCAAAGGCATGTCTTACATGGCGGCAGACAAGAGTGTGTGCAGGGGAACTGCCCTTTATAAAACCATCAGATCTCATGAGACTTATTCACTATCATGGGAATGGCATGGGAAGAACCTGCCCCCATGATTCAGTGACCTCCCACTGGGTCCCTCCTATGACATGTGGGGATTATGGGAGCTACAGTTCAAGATGAGATTTGGGTGAGGACACAGCCAAACCATATTAAGCTCCAACCCTTCTCTCCCATCCATCCTCCACTCCCGGGTTCAGCGGTTTCTCTCTGAGTTCCTTCTCTTGCCTTCAGAGGCCTGCCCCTGCTATGTTCCACTGAGATGAGGTGAGCCCATGTCCCAGGAGCAGTGAACCACTCCAAGTGCCCCAGGCTCGGCAACTCACTCCCCCAACCAGCCCTCCCAGGCAGCCCCTGCTGACACATCTGTCCAAAACCAGCATTCTGCCCTGGAGACCTCACCTATCCAAGGCCGGAAGCAGTGGCCCTCAAGCTTTTTAACTGCCTCGCACAGAAAGGATGACACTGGAGGCAGGACACACTCCCAAAGGTGTCTGTTTCTGGTTGAATGGTGAACCCCCAGAAGATATGTCCACCTAGAACCTGTGAATGCAACCTTCTCTGGTAAAAGGGTCTTTGCAGATATAATCAAGTACATGATCTTGAGATGGGATCATCCTGGATGAGAGTGGGCCCTACATCCAATGACTCTGTCCTTATGAGAGAAGAGAAGAGGAAAGGCAGAGACTGGAGTGACGTGAGTACAAGCCAAGGAACGCTAAGGACTGCCGGCAGCCACGCGAAGCTGGAAGAGACAGGAAAAAATCCTCCGCAAGAGCCTTCAGCGGGAACATGGGCCTGCCAACACCTTCATTTTTAACTTCTTGTCCTCTTCATTCGCTCTTGAGAAAGTGCCTCAGAACACCAGCCAGTGTCATCATTACAGCACAGTCCATCTTGTATCGACTCTAATTTACATACAAAAAAATCATTCTCCAAACAGTTTGATGACTATTTTTCTGGATTTTTAAACTATTTTTAACATTTAACTATTATTTCTAAGGACTGGGAACACATTTTGCAAGGCTCGTGGTCCCTGGCCCAGAACTTCTGTCCCACGGAATAAGCTTGTGGAGGGTTTCCGTCTGTGACAATAATCCATGCTCACCTTTCTCCTGAGCCATCTCCTGCAGACAGAAGTAGATGACTCTGGCACCCAGGCTGAAGCCGATCAAGGTGACAGGCCGCCGGCCCTGAAGGAAAAAAGGACACAGGTGTCTGGAGGGAATACAGCTGGTTCTAGCAAAACATCAGGCCAGAGGAGGGCAGCCTGTGCACATTCCTTACCACCTGCTTCTAATCTAATGAATCATGCACGTGCTGTTCCGGTCCCTGAGCTCTGATGTCTTAATCAGCAGAGTCAGGACCCTCATTTATGCAGGAGTCCACCTGTCGCTGGAATTGGCTTCCTCCAAGGCCAAGAGGCAGCCCCCGGCTGGGTTAATTCCCTTTCATCTCAAACCATTATCCAGTCACTGTCTCATCTGTCCCAGGAGACAGGGCTAGTCAATTACAAGAGCAACTTCCCTTGGACTGATCTGCCTTCTGGCAAATGGCTGCAGGGCTGCAGGAACCCCTTCTGGAGCTGGGGAGATTAGACAGAAGGCACCCCGGGTGTGAGGGGTAAAAAGGCAAAGAGTGACAAGGAGGGGACAACTGTTCCGTTTCTAGATAGGAAGGTGGGGCACAAGATATTGGTTCTAAGTGACAAGATAAAGTAGTAAGTCAAATGGAAAGAGGAATCTTCTGACTCAAGGACTTGTAGAAAAGGCAACTCATTATGTGAAGACTCTAAAGAAAATGAAAGTTATCTCAGGGCATTTGGGTACAGGCTTACATGGAAGGAGAGGAGGGGAGTGGTTGAGTTCTGGAGGCCCAGCCTGATTTTACCAGTCTATTCCTTTTCCTTGGTTTTGTGCCAATACATGTATTCCACACCCCCCCACCACTCCACTTACTACACTAGAAAATCCTCTGTTAAACAGTTTGAATCTTGCAGGAGCTTTGTGCCAACCCTGCTGGCCGCTGCCCGTCATCCGTTCTCCCCTTCGTCCTTTAGTAATAGAATTCCTGAGCGGGACTGGACACGTAGCCACCTGGCCAAGGATGAAGTTTCCCTGACTCCTCTGTAGCTTGGGGTGGTCACAGGGCTGAGGCTCAGCCAAAGGACTGAAGGCAAGCAAAAGCAGTGACTTCCAGGCATACTCCTCATCCCTAGTGTCCTACCTCCCACTGCCTGAAACGCACACGTAACGCTGGAAGATCTGTCTTGGACAAGAGAGAAGCACAGCCGGGCGCCGTGGCTCATGCCTGTAATCCCAGCACTTTGGGAGGCCAAGGCGGGAGGCTCACTTGAGGTCAGGAGTTCCAGACCAGCCTGGTCAACATGGTGAAAGCCCAACTCTATTAAAGATACAAAAATTAGCCAGGCGTGGTGGCAGGCACCTGTAGTCCTAGCTATTTGGGAGGCTGAGGCAGGAGAATCACTTGGACCTGGGAGGTGGAGGTTGCAGTGAGCTGAGATCACACTACTATACTGAAGCATGGGTGACAAAAGTGAGACTCTGTCTCAAAAGAGAGAGAGAGAGAGAGAGAGAGAGAGAGAGAGAGAGAGAGAGAGAATCCCAGAGAGAGAGAGAGAGAGAGAGAGAGAGAGAGAGAGAGAGAAAAGCCCAGTGTGCTCAGGAGGAGAGGCCACAAGAGTGAAGGAAGCTGGGCTCCCAATATTACGAAGCTGCCCATGTGGGAGACAGAATAACACCTGCCCATGGATGTCTTCACCCTAATCCCTGGAACCTGTGAATGTTGCCTTGTATAGCAAAGGGTCTTTCTGTTTGTTTGTTGAGATGTAGTCTTGCTCTGCTGCCCAGGCTGAATGAAGTGCAGTGGCACAATCTCGACTCACTGCAACCTCCACCTCCCGGGCTCAAGCAAGTCTCCTGCCTCAGCCTCCCCAGTAGCTGGGACTGCAGGTGCCCGCCACCACACTCAGCTAATTTTATTTTCATTTTTAGTAGAGACAGGGCCTTACCATGTTGGCCAAGCTGTTCTTGAACTCCTGACCTCAAATGATCCACCTGCCTTGGCCTCCCAAAGTGCTGGGATTATAGGCATGAGCCAGCACCTGGCCTATTTATTTATTTTTGAGACAGAGTCTCACTGTTGCCCAGGCTGGAGTGCAGTGGCATGATCTGGGATCACTGCAACCTCTGCCTCCCAGGTCAAGTGAGTCTTCTGCCTCAGCCACTGGAGTAGCTGGGATTACAGGTACACACCACCTTGCCCAGCTGATTTTTATATTTTTAGTAGAGACAGGGTTTCACCATGTTGGCCAGACTGGTCTCAAGCTCCTGACCTCAGGTGATCCGCCTACCTTGCCCTTCCAAAGTGCTGGGATTACAGGCATGAACCACTGTGCCCAGCTGGACCTTTGCTATTTATTTGAGGTAGGGTCCCGCTCTGTCACCCAGGCTGGGGTGCAGTGATGCGGTCACAGCTTATTGCAGCTTTCACCTCCTGAAGTCCAGTGATCCTCCCATCTCAGCCTCCCAAACAGCTGGGACTACAGGTATAAACCACCACACCCAGCTAATTTCTGCATTTTTTTGTGGAGACAGGGTTTATTTTGTTGCCCAGGCTGGTCTTGAATTCTTGGACTCAAGCAATCTGCCCACCTTGGCCTCCCAAAGTGCTAGGATTACAGGCGTGAACCACCTCGCCCACCAGGCCGACAAAAGTTTTTTTCCGATGTGATTAAGTTACAGGTCTTTAGATGGGGAGATTATTCTGGATTATCTGGGAGGAACCAAGGTAATCACAAGGGTCCCTATAAGAGGGAGGCAGGAGTCAGATAGAAGGTGATGTGATGATCAAAACTGAGGAACAGAGAGAAGGATTTCAGAGTGTTACACTGCTGGCTTTAATGGTGAAGGAATTGGGCCTTTGGAAGCTGGCATAGGCAGGGAAAGGGGAGCCTCCCTAAGGCATGCATTTTTGCCTTCTGACCTCCAGAGCTGTAAAATAGTAAATTTGTTTTCAGCTGGTAAATTTGCGGTAATTTGTTACAGTGGCAGTAGGAAACTAACACATCACCTGGCCCTAGATGCTGACACTCAGGCTGTTACTTGGGGGAGAACAAACTTCTATCTCATCTAAGCCAAAGTCACTTTGGCCTTTGCCTTAGAGTCAAGCCTGCCAAAGGACTTTGCTATGTCTTTTGACAAAGACACAGGGATTTTGAAGGGGGTGGCCAGTTTCTCAAGCAATTTACCTGCAGGGCAGAAACTGCTAATTGTCATCCCTCAATATCCATCCTCTTTTTCTTTTTTTTTTAAAACAGAGTCGTGCCGTTGCCCAGGCTGGAGTGCAGTGGCTCGATCTCGGCTCACAGCAACCTGTACCTCCCGGGTTCTTGCAATTCTCCTGCCTCAGCCTCCGGAGTAGCTGGGACTACGGGTGCACGCTGCCACACCTGGCTAATTTTTTTTTTTTTTTTTTTTGTATTTTAGTAGAGACGGGGTTTCACCACGTTATCCAGACTGGTCTTGAACTCCTGAGCTCAGGCAATCTGCCCGCCTCAGCCTTCCGAAGTGCTGGGATTACAGGCGTGAGCCACCACACCTGGCCTCATCCTCCCTTTTTTTCTATATATAGTAACTGAATTCCAGCTGGGTTCATTGTCACTCAGAATAAGGACTGTATTTCCCAGCTGCTGTGGCAGTTAGGAATGGTCATGTGACTAGGCTCTGGCTAGCAAGACATCAACTGAAATGTTGTGAGGTTTGCTGTTTCTTCTTCAGTTCTTCCCTTCTCCTGCTCCTTGGAGCTCAGATGATGTCATCTCGGATACAAGGTCAAGACCACAGAGCAACAAGGTAGCAGGAACCTGGGTCTCTGCTCCACAGCAGCCTATTAGACAACCTTGCTAGACTTCTCCAGGAAAATAAACTTCTACCTTGTTTAAGCCGCTGTTATTCTGGGTTTTCTCCCACTTGTAGCCAAAACAAGTCCTGACAATGCAGTCATTTCTGGTACTATTTCTCAAGCTTTGGTCTCCATTCATTCAAGTTTACTTTGAAGGGGATGGTTTTATTCTCTTGGTAAGTACCTCTTTTATGATGATTTCTCTTTCTAACCATTTTACACGGTATTTAGAACACCGAAGATGAACTCACAAAGTAGCTTTACACTTCTGGGAAGGAACACCAGGCCACCAGCATGTGGGAATTCCATTTGTGGCCAGCTGAGACCCCTGGACTCATTCACTTTACTGGCTTCATTGCAAACCGAGTCAGAGATTTCCACTGAAACATTGCCCAAATGAGCCCGATTATCCTAAACTCTTGAATGAAGAGCTGACACACGGGAGCCACTTCTGCTTCTGCCAGAGTCCCCCCAGACTTGTTCCTACCTGGAGATGCCCCTGTTATTCCGTCCTCACCTACATACCTGCTAGAGCTGCAGAATCTTTAATTCTTACTGTTCATCCTGGGACACATTCATTACTTGAACTGGAGTTCACTTCCCCAAAACCACTGGGTTGCCTCCAAGCGGCCTTGCCGCTAAGGCTGATGTCTGTGCACAAGTCAGCCCCTGACTTCCCCTTGTGCCCTGTGCCACCCCGCAAGTACCTGCTGCCGGGAGAGCAGGATGTGGGCCAGGTGCTTGCCAACCTCTGCTGATCGATGGAGACACACCCCCCAGGGGTTGTCGATGACATTGGCGACAGTGAGGAGTGAGGCCGGCCAGGTCAGGGCAGCCACAATGCCTGGGGAGGTGAGATAGCAGGGATGAAGGGAATGGCTCCCATCCTAGGGTCCTACTAGGGAAGTGACTGGCCAACAGATGCTCAAATGAATGCATGCAGTCTCTAACTTGGACCTGCAAGCTTGCCGAGTATTGCCAAAATGCCGAACAGCAAAAAAATCTGAAATACGAATTTCCGATAGACGGATTTAATGCCTTCTGCTCAAGCCCTTGTCATGTGTGAGATCCCAAAGATGGCCCCAATTCATCTCCACACCCTGGACCCTTCTACTTTGTCTCATAACTCTGCAGTGGGGCCCCCTGCCCTGCCCACCCCCTCTAGACTCAGCCACGTGACTTGCTTTTGTCAAAGAGAGTAGTAGATGTGAGGCTTGAAATGGACTTGTGCATCAGGGCTAGCCTCTCGGGTTTCTATCACTGATGTGGGCTAGCCTGCTCATCCCAGGAGGATGAGAGACAAATGGAGCAGAGCCGAGCTGCCCCAGGCAAGGCTGGCATTGATCAGTGGATGGTCGGCTGACCCACAGGCCCAGATAAGATCCACCAACTCCAGCCTCCTGAGCTACTACAGTAAACACCCCGTGGTGTTTTGGGGTGGCCTGTCACACAGCAATAGCTAACTGACAGATCATGTGATTGGCTGTTTATCTGTCTTCTCTCTATAGGTATCATAAACTTCTCCCAGACAGGAATGTGACCTTAACCTCTCTCTGCGTTCCTAGGGTCCAGCATGGTGTGTGCCCAGCGGGCATGCAATACTATGGTACCACTGTGGGATGAAGGCAGTGAGGATGTTGTTGTTGGGGGGCAGAGGGGAAGCTTACCAGACAACACTGTGTACTTCAGGGCCTCCTGGGCCACCACGTTGGCGAGCCCACTAAGGATGGTCTCCAGGGCGTTGCCGAGCTCCATCAGGTACTTGGCCTCCCAGGCCAGGCAGTACTGCTCGCGGCTATGGGCCAGCGCCGCCCACGGGGCACTGAAGGTGCCTAGGGGAGATCACAGGTAGCCGAAGTCTCTATTGTCTGTGGCAGAGGATGCCCCACCCACTAACCCAGAGAAGCAGCAACAGGGCCACTCACTTTGTGCGGAAGACAAGAGGCCCACCCCCTACCAATGAGTGGCCACTGACAGCAGAGCTACTGGAGCTCTGTGTGGCCCAGTGAGTCAGCAGGCTGGGGCTCGAATCCCAGCTCCTGCATTCACTAGAAGCCGGGTGCCCTTGGGTACATCACTATCCCACCTTGAGCCTTACTTTGCTTCTATGTGAAATGGGGAGATGGTTTATCTCCCTGCCTAGGGTAGGTGTAAGAATGAAGTATGTTTGCACTATGATATATGTAAAGGGTTATTTTCTCTCACGCTGAAATAATTCGGGCATTAAGTTGCTCATGACATACAATGAGAGCACACAGCGGGACAAGCAGCATGGTGCTGTGAGCCTGCAGCCTCGTGATTTGACAAACGTGGCCTGGGAGATGGTTAGACATTTGAGGAAGAGGTGTTTGAGCCCGGCTCTGTCCTGATCTTGCTGGTTCATCCAATTTTTCTGAGCCTTATTTTTCTCACGGAGGAAATGTAAATATCAAATGACCCATGGAAGGAGGATGAGATGGTACCACTGTGGCAACTGATGCCAAGTCAGAAAGTATGACCATGACAACTGCCTCCCTCTTCCCCTCCTTCCTTGCCCACCTGGCCGCCTTCAGGATAGGAGCACAGAGGAGCCCCCAATCTGGCCCCCATGCATTTCTGCTTGTGGCCCAAGTGACTTTTCTTTTCTGACAAGAGTTCTGCTCTTGTCGCCCAGGCTGGAGTGCAGTGCTGCCATCTCCGCTCACTGCAACCTCCGCCTCCTGGCTTCAAGTGATTTTCCTGCCTTGGCCTCCTGAGTAGCTGGGATTACAGGTGCCTGCCACCACACCTGGCTAATTTTTTTGTATTTTTAGTACAGACAGTGTTTCATCACGTTTGCCAGGTTGGTCTCGAACTCCTGACCTCAAGTGATCCACCCACCTCAGCCTCCCAAACTGCTGGGATTACAGGCGTGAACCACCACACCTGGCGCAAGTGACCTCTTCAAAACACAAAGCTTCTCCCACTCTTGCCTAAAACCCTTCATCAGCTCCCGGATCGGACATCAGTTCCCCTAGATCACTACCACTTGTCCTTGAGATTCCAGTCCAATTGCCTCTTCCATGGGGAAGCCTCCTGGCTCCTCTGACAAGTCAAATGTACCCTCCACTTTTCCCCATAAGTTCTTATCACAGACTGTAATTATACGCTATTTTTGCATCCTCTGACGTGTGCCTCTCCTATAGTCTGCTTTGCCAAGCACTGTATTTCCAAAGCCTGGGGATGTGACGCACGGTGAGTGCTCATTAAACACGATGTGGGAATGGAGGGGTAGAGCCAGCTTCCCGGGGCCTGTAGGTTCTCAGCATCAACCTCAGGCCTTCACCTGCCTGCCCCAAAGCTCATCCTTAGCTGCAAGGTGCCACATCTACACCAAGACAACTCTGCAGCTGCTCCCCTCCCTCTGTGGGGACCCTGTCTCAGCTCTGCAACAACTTGGGGATCAATTGCCTCTAACTATGGATAAGGTGACAGCCCCTAGAGAGGAGACAGGTACAGGATGGGGGGGAGCATGGGCTTGATACCGGCCTGGGTTCCGAACCCAGCTTCATGGCTTCTGCTGCTGTGACCCACAGCAAGGCACAGTGCCCTTCTGACCCTTGGTTTCCACATTGGTAGGGATGAAATAATGCCATTTGACTCACAGGTGTAGTGGGGATCACATGAGCTGCTGCTTAAAAGCTGTTGTATAAACTGTAAAGTGCTGTACTGCATTGTGTTGTCCCGTGGCCAAGAATATGGGCTGTGGAGCCAGACAGAAGCGGGTGAATCCTGTCCCTGCCCCTGACTAGCTGGGTGACCCTGAGCACCCCTTATGAGCCTCAGTTTCCTCATCTGGAAAATGGGAGTGCGAATGACACCCACTTCCCTGGACTGAAGTGAGGAGCTAAGTGAGCCAGTGCATACAAAGGGCTTGGTCTGTAAAAAGTGGTTGGCTACAAAGTTTTTATCTTTATTGTACATAATCATGATTAATAAAGGGGTGGGCCAAAGAAAGTTCAGTTATGCCTATCACATGGAAAAGCAACCCTGTGATGATAAGGCTTCTTTTCCTGGCTCTCAAGGAGGTAGGAGTATGTGATTTTTTTTTTTCCTTCTGAAACTTTACCTAGCTTGGTTATATTTCTTTTACCCAGCCCTCTACCTGGGTGCCACACCACATCAGACTGCTGGAGATCAAAGACTTTCCTCATCCCCAAATGACCTTGACCTTTAACCTGGGTCAAACCGAACATATTGGGGCAAAATGAAGAAAGGGGTTTGCTTTCCATGCTGAGCAGACTTGCAAATTCCTTTACCTGGACTCTTGCTCTTGCTCCTTCCTGCAGCACGGTAAAATGCAAACAAATGAAAAGAAACCCTGGACATTGCATCAGGAGACCTAGCTTTGAATTCTGCAGGGTTCCTTTAGGGATCCTCTTGTGACAGATCAGGGTCAGAACAGCCCCACCTTGGAGGGTGGAAGTGAGGTTTCTAGGAGGTAACCATACCAAGTTCCTACTGTGCTGGTAAAATGCCAGACTCAGGGTAGGCGTGAACCCGGCGCTCACTGAACATCAAGTGACCTCTGTGCGGGGTGGGGCCTGGCAGTCACACACCAGTAAGACCCTGGTGCCTGGTGACACCTCTAAGTATTTCTCACTGGGCTTTCTTCTATGCAGTTTGGCAGATCTGCAGCTTCTGCCCTCAGGTCAGAGACTTGGGAACCCAGGAGGCTCTGGGCAGGCGTGCCTGAGTGGCCAGGTTGGGGCATTTAGGATTCCCGTGCCCACCCTGCTCCTTCTCTAAGGCATGCACTGTTTGTTGAGCCTCTTGCTGGGCACTTGCAGAGGTGAGTCAGGTACAAGTGGACCATAGTGTGAGTCCTCAATGTCACCCTGGCTAGAATCCCCAAAATATGCATGTTCAACTTAGAACAGCCAAGGGGACTAATGTTTGTGTCACAACTAGACACCACGGGATGTCCACACATTTCCTAGCTTAATCTTTGCAGCATCCTGAAAAGGTAGCAATAATTTTGTCCAATTGTAGCAATGAAGTAGCTGAGATACAGAGAAGTTAAGTAACTTGCTGAGGTCACATAGCCAACCCATACTGATACAACTCACATGCTTCAAGTCCTTTGCTATCTTCTACTTGCTCTGAGGACAGATTCAAACTTCTCACCACAGCTCACATGCTCCTATGTTGTCTTGCTCCACCCACACTCCTGCCTTCTGGCTGCCTGCTGCAGCCATCCTGTGTTCTCTTGGTTCTTTCAGATCGCTGGGCCTTTGCACATGCTGTCCCTTTGCTTGGAATACACTTTCTGCTCCTGCTTTACTGGGCTAACTCGCAGCCAGCCCTTAGCCTAAAAGTCACTTCCTTCAGAACCTTCCTCAGAAACACCCTGTGCTTCCCTTACTGTGCCATCCATAAAGCTCCCATTTAGTTACTCTGTCTGTCTTCTATCGCAGGTGGTATGTTCCATGGGAGTAGAGGCCATGGTTGTGCTGCTCACCACTAAATTCCTAGGGCCTGGTTCAGTGTATGACACATAGTAAGTATAGCACTCTGCAAATACTGCTAGATGGACAGATAGGTGGATGGGTGGATGGGTGGATGGATGGATAGATGGGTGAGTAGATGGATGGATGGATAGGCAGATAGTTGGATGGATAGGTGGGTGGGTAGATGGGTAGATGGACAGGTGGGTGGGTGGATTAGTAGACAAGTAGAAGGGTAGATGGATGGATGGATAGACAGGTAGAAGAATGGGTAGGTGGATGGGTGGGTACATGGATAGATAAGTAGAAGTGTGGATGGATGAGTTGATGGATGGGTGGACAGGTGGGTGGGCGATGGGTGGATAGGTAGAAGGGTAAATGGATGAATGAATGAGTGGGTGGGTGGATGGACAGATAGGTAGAAGGGTGGATGGATAAATGGATGGGTGGGTACATGGATAGACAGAAGTGTGGATGGATACATGGGTTGATGGGTGGGTAGACAGGTTGGGGGCAATAGGTGGATAGGTAGAAAAGTGGATGGATGGATGTATAGATAGAAGGGTGAAAGGATGAGTGGGTGGATGGGGGGGTGGGTGGATGGGTAGATAGGTAGAAGGGTGGGTGGATAAATGGGTGGGTGGGTGGATGGATAGATAGGTAGAAGGGTGGAAGGATGGGTGGACAGGTGGGTGGGTGGATGGGTGGACAGGTAGAAGGGTGAATGGATAAATGGATGGGTGGGTAGATGGACAGATAGGTAGAAGGGTGGATGGATGGATAGGTGGGTGGATGGATGGATAGGTAGGTGGATGGATAGTTAGGTAGAAGTGTGGATGAATGGATGGGCTGATGGGTGGGTGGACAGGTGGGTGGGCAGATGGGTGGATAGGTAGAAGGATGGATGGACAAATGGATGGGTGGGTAGATGGACAGATAGGTAGAAGTGTGGATGGATGGATGGGTTGATGGGTAGGTGGACAGGTGGGTGGGAGGATGGGTAGATAGGTAGAAGAGTAGATGGATGGATGGATAGATAGAAGGGTGGATAAATAGGTGGGTAGATGGATGAACAGGTGGGTGGCAGATGGTTGGATAGGTAGAAGGGTGGATGGATGGGTGGGTGGATGGACAGGTGGGTGAGTGACTGGGTAGGTGAAAAGATGGAGGGAGAGATGATGGGCAGGTAGATAGATACGAGATGAAGTCGCCTCACCTCTCTGAGCCTCAGTTTCTTCCTCTGCGAAATGGGGCTCCCTATACCTGCTCCCTGGAGACGTGCACAGCCAAAAACTTAGCTCTGGGTCTGGCCTAGCCCACCACTGCCCACCCTCCTCCACTCTGGTCCTCCCGGTACTCACGGTATTTGCCAGATGCAAGCCACCCGGTGATGGCAATGGTGATGTGCAGCTGCCTGCCCTCTGTCAGAGGCAGGAACGTGAACTCTTCAATGGCTCCCACTCGCTTCTTCATCTTGTATCCTAAAGACCCAGATTCGAGAAAGAGAATGGAGGTGACTGGGGCCCCGGGGAACATCAGGGTGGCTGTCTGTGCTCACACACGCACACAGTAAGCGCCATCTGTGTGCCCTACCCCTGGAAAAACACATTTTGTATTTGAACTCATTCAGGTAGGTTCCATTATTGTCCCTGATGACAGACGAAAGCAAGAAGCTGCCGAGGCCGGCCAGCCCCCGCGTGGTAGAGCTGCTTTCGACCTCAGAGCCCAGGCTCTTACCCATCGCTCCGTTCTGATTCTGTTTCTTTTCTCCTGCCCACACATTGCAGGGGTAGAACATGCTCCACTTAGTAAGAGCGAATCAAATGGACCAAGAGTCTCAGCAGGGGAGCAACACTCGTCTTGGGGAGTTGAACCGGAATGTCTGTGTGTGATGGGGTGGCAGGGAGTGGAAGAGGGGCTGCTATTGACACGTACCACTTGGAAAAACTCCGACCAGGTGATGCTGGTCAGGGAAATGTAGCCACGTTCTCTCTAAACACAAGGAAGCCCAAGCATGGATACTTCTGGATGGTGGAAGCAGGCTCAATTAGAGCCTTTTTCAGTGAAGTACACATAAGGTACATGGGGAAAAAACCAGCTTCTCAAACTTGGCCCTTACCCTGACCCACACAAGCTCTAAGGAAGGCTGGGACCCAGAGTGAGAAAAGCCACGTCTCCTCTGTCTCCCAGGGAGCCACTGCTGGTGAGAATCCAGGCATGTCCTTTTAGGAACTGGGCCATCCTGGCTGAAAATTCCTCTGAACCCATCATCATTCCTTTTGAACCTTACCCGTCAGGCCAGCTCCAGCAGCACCGAAGAGCGAGGTCATGATGGCTATGCCAGCTGCTGAGCCCAGAGCTGCTGCTCCGGCGCTGCCAATAATCGTTGCTGCTCCAGCGGCAACAAGGGGTGCAGCTAGACCTCCGGTCACACCTGTGGGAAAAGCAGCAGTTTCAAGTGGGAGTAAAAATGTGGCCGGATGAGTTCTTACCCCTCAGCTACCTACTGCCTGGCATGGAAGCTCCTGACAGTGCGGAGGAGCATACTGACTACTCACTGGCACCCACCACACGCCGGGGCCACCTCCCAGCTGAGCCCCTGTGCTCTCTACTCTCACCCACAGTCTGGCATCACTGCTCTGTCTGCAAAACCCAGACCCGTGCCACCGTCTCCAGCTGGACTCACCAATCACCGTTCCGCCTCCGACAGTCGCCAGGCCTATCAGGAGATAACGCTTCCATTTCCTCCGGTTTTCTTTCTTTTTTCGGGAGGACTCGGCCATTCTGAGGGAGAAAGGCTGGTCTTTAGGGCCAACTGTGCCCAGGATCCCTTAAGACATCCCCACCACACCAACCCTCAAACAGAGGCCCATGCTGGGTAGGTATTCTGCCACTCAGAGTAAGGCACCAAAGTCACCCTGAGCCCACTGAAAGCCGAAAACTTTCTAAAACCCAGCCAGGGAATCTCAGTACATGGGATGTGCTACTTACCCAATGGATCCATCCTAACAGGGTTGCAATTTGAATAATAAAAAGACAAAAAAATAATAATAGCAAGAGAAGCACAAAAAGGATCTTTAAGCAGATGGACCCAGAAGTACAGAACAGAATCACGGACTCCATCACCTCCCTCCTCCCCTCCTTTCCTCCCCACCCTGCCATCTGATCCCACCTCCCTCCAGGACATTTGGAAATCAGTTTCCTTCAGAATCACCATTGTGAAGATGGGAGACCGTGGCCCCATAGCAATAGCTAGACTTGTTCAGATTTGGAATTTAAATGCTAGAAAATCTAGCAAAAGGAAAACATTTAGAGTGAACTGGGGTCAGGTGAACCCTGAGAACTGCTGTTATGAGCACTCGAGAGTCATGAAGCCCAATTTTCTTACTCGACATTCAGCCCTTGGCCCCTTTGCTGAGGGTGGGACAGACAGGTTATTAAGTGGGAACTCTGAACTGAGGTTGGAGTCTGAACCACAACTCAGTGTGGAGTGATAGCAAAGCATGGTGATAATCAAAGAATAAAATCGTTAATCTTTATTGAGGGCTTCTTGTATCTCAGCCACTGGGCTTTGCACTTCACAGGGTTTATCCTATCCTAAGAAGCAGTATGGTCATAGTGCCTGTATTTTCAACGAATTAAGGGGTAACAGTCACCACCTCCCCAGGGACTGATTGAATCCAGTCATAGATTATCTGTAAAGCATTTAGCACAGCCGTGGGCACACTGCAAGTGCTCGGTGTGACCAGGGATGATGTCACATGATACTGCACCTCCCCAAATCTCAGTTTCCTCTTTTCTGAAAAGGCAGATACTATTTTTTGCCTCATAAAGTTGTTGGTTTGTAAGGATTAAATGCATTTCTTTTCGTTCATTCAATCAATAAAATTTTATTAAGAATGGATGGTGTGCTGTGCTTTTGTATCTCCATGAGCAGAAAAATGTGCGTGCTCAACCAGTACCTGTTTCCTTCCCATCTCTCTCCTCGAGATCCATACATTTTACTGAGAAATAGCTTCTTCTCCAGTCATCTAAGAGAAATGGGATTTGGCCAGGTACGGCGGTGGCTCGTGCCTGTAATCCCAACACTTTGGGAGGCCGAGACAGGCAGATCACCTGAGGTCAGGAGTTTGAGACCAGCCTGGCCAATGTGATGAAACCCTGTCTCTACCAAAAACACAAAAATTAGGTGTGGGGTCATGCACTTGTATCCCAGCTACTTGGGAGGCTGAGGCAGGAAAATTACTTGAATCCAGGAGGTGGAGGTTACAGTAAGCTGAGATTGTGCCACTGCACTCCAGCTTGGGCAACAGAGTGAGACTCTGTCTCAAAAATAATAAAACAAAATAAAATAAAATAAATGAAATGGGACTTGAGTTGGGCATCTGGGGACCTACTGTGCTTTTTCGTTCCCTGACAGCTCACTCAACAAACTTTTTTCCTAAGCATCTCCTGGGTGTAAAGCCCAGTGCTTCTCGGTCACTTCATTACACTGAAGCAGAAACCAATAGTAAAAATCTCTGTGCACATGATGGATGCTGGTTTTCCACGACTGAAATTCATGTCATCAGTGGTGCGGGATGAGGCTGAACCACGTGCATCTAGCACAGTGGGAGGCAGGAGGGCCATTAACATTGAGGGTTCTTTCTCTTTTTTTTTTTTTTTTTTTTAAGATGGAGTTTCACTCTTGTTGCCCAGGCTGGAGTGCAATGGCATGATCTTGGCTCACCACAACCTCCACCTCCCAGGTTCGTAATTCTCCTGCCTCAGCCTCCAGCATAGCTGGTATTACAGGTATGTGCCACCATGTCCGGCTAATTTTGTATTTTTAGTAGAGATGGGGTTTCTCCATGTTGGTCAGGCTGGTCTTGAACTCCCGACCTCAGGTGATCTGCCCGCCTTGGCCTCCCAAAGTGCTGAGATTACAGGTGTGAGCCACTGCGCCTGGCCAAGATTGAGGGTTCTAATGTCAGGATTCAGGCTCTGTGGATGTAGGCATGCATCCGAGCTCTGCTGTTGTAGCTGTATCACCATTCACCACATATTCAGTTATCCCTCTCTACATAAAGATTATGCATGCCTGCCCGGTCAAACTGAGCGGTCATATGACCAGCTTTAGCCAATAAAATGTAGGTGGAGGTGATATGTGTTACTTCTGGCAGAATCTTTTTTCTTTCTTTTTTTGAGACAAGATCTGGCTCTGTCGCCCAGGCTGGAGTGCTATGGAGGAATCTTGGCTCATGCAACCTCCACTTCTCAGGTTCAAGTGATCCTCCTGTCTCAGCCTCCCAAGTAGCTGGGATTATAGGTACATGCCACCATGCTTAGCTAATTTTTGTATTTTTTGTAGAGATGGGGTTTTGCCATATTGCCCAGGCTGGTCTCAAACTCCTGGGCTCAAGTGATCCATCTGCCTCAGCCTCCCAAAGTGTTGGGACTACAGGTGTGAGCCACAGTGCCTGGACAACTGGCAGAATTTTTAAAGCCAGTGCAGGAAAGTGACTCATCTTCTTTCTCTCTGCCCTGAGACCAGCAATGATCTAGATGGGGTCACTCTGTCAGCCTGGGACCCAGAACCAAGGCAATGTGAATTCAAGCCACATTGATATGAATCCAGCCACAGTGTGAATCCAGCCGATCTGCAATGGACACGCAGTATGAACAAGAAATATGCCTTTAATCCTGTAAGCTGCTGAGACTTATTTGGAGGTGACTTCTTATGGCACCAAAACCTAATCTATCCCTGCCATGGACAGAACCGCTTAATAACTTTGTGACTACGCACAAATTACTTGTTATATCTGAGTTTCCTCAACCAACAAATGGGGATAACAATAGTACTGAATTGGCAGGGGTATTGTGAGGGCTAAATGAGATGGAGATACTGAGACATAGTGACTAGCCCCCTATAAGTATTTCATATGTTTATTGCTATCATCACTCTTTTCATTATTATTGCAATAATTCCCTCCTAAACACAGGCTAAGGATATACTTTGACCCTTAACTGCCTTGACCCATAATTGATAACTCTTAATTCAGTTCAAAGTGGAAGGCTGGAGATTATTGATTTTCAGCAGAGTTCAAGGCCGAAGAGAAAATTCAAGCTGCTGACGATATACGATGAGAATGTGCAACCAGGCAAGCAGCGTGGCGCTGAGTCAGCGGCATCTTGATTCGACAAACACGGCCTGGAAATAGTCTGGACATTTGGCGAAGAGCTGTTTGAGCTCAGCTCTGCCATGAACTCGCTGGGTCATCTAATTTTTCTGAGTCTTGATTTTTCTCGCTTAGGAAATGTAAATATCAAATGACCCACGGATGGATGATGAGATGGCACCACTGCAGTGGCCAATGCCATGTATTAATAGAAAAATATAAGCATGACTATTTGCCTCTGTCTCCTCTTCCCTCCTTGCCCACCTGGCTGTCTTCAGGACACTGTCACCTCTCCCCAGTGTGACACTCACACCCTCTGTGTCCTGACCCCTGTCTCCCCCTCTATCTTCAATTCTCATCACTCCCTCACTTCCACATCACCCTTGGGAAATACTGAGCTGCCTCCAGCCACCTTCTGGCTCCTGGCCATCAAGGACCTTCCCACCTTCCTGTGACAAGTTCAACATTACTCAACCTTCCGGAGTCAGCTGAGGTGGGACACATCCTCCAGGAAGACTGTCCAAAACCCCAAGGTTGCTCAGATGCCCTGACTCTGGGGCCCCTGACCTTCTGTGCCACATTGTCCTGGAATTCTACACCAGTGATTTTCAGAGGGAAGGCATCAGAATCACCAGGGGGTAACTGTTAAAAACACAGCTTCCTGGAGCAGAACCTCTGGGTGTAAGGATGAAAATTCTGTATCAGTAACAAGCTCATCCTCCAGGGATTCTGCTCTAACTCAAGTTTGAAATTTGCTGAGCTAAGTTCTTTCAGAGCACAGACCAAGCCATTTCCAATTCCCCACCCTCAGCAGCTGGCCCTGGGCTTGGAAACTAGAGAGCACTCAGGAAATCTTTCTTTCTTTCTTTTTTAAATTTATTTTTTGAGACGGAGTTTCGCTCTTGTTACCCAGGCTGGAGTGCAATGGCGCGATCTCGGCTCACTGCAACCTCCGCCTCCTGGGTTCAGGCAATTCTCCGGCCTCAGCCCCCCGAGTAGCTGGGATTACAGGCACGCACCACCATGCCCAGCTAATTTTTTGTATTTTTAGTAGAGACGGGGTTTCACCATGTTGGCCAGGATGGTCTCGATCTCCTGACCTTGAGATCCACCCGCCTTGACCTCCCAAAGTGCTGGGACTACAGGCGTGAGCCACCATGCCCGGCCAGGAAATCTTTCTTGTAAAGAGCCTAATTATTCCAACAGGATTGAAGGTGACCACCTTGCTCCAGCGATATACTCCCCAACTCACTGTCTACATCTCTGAAAATCAGAGAGGTACAGAAGGGACATGTTAGCTAAATAAAAATACCTAGGCTGGGTATGGTGGCTCATGCCTGTAATCCTAGCACTTTGGGAGGCTGAGGTGGGAGGATCCCTTGAGCCTAGGAGTTTCAGACTAGCCTAGGCAATAGGACGAAATCCTGTCCCTACAAAAATAAAAAAATTAGCTGGGCATGGTGGTGCACACCTGTAGTCCACACTATTTGGAATGCTGAAGTGGGAGGATCGCTTGAGCCCGTGAGGTTGAGGCTGCAGTGAGTGTGATCATGCCACTGCACTCCAGTCTGTGACAGAGTAAGACTCTGTCTCCCTACCTCCCCCGAGAAAAGTTTATAAGCATTTGTGGATTGGAAAAGAAGATATTTTCCCTAAAGTTACTTGGCTAAGGTCCTCTCCTAATGTTCAGCTGAATGGCCAATTTATTTCCCTGATAATTTCAGTATTTGCACATTTTTAAATAATTGTTTTGTACATAAAATAGCTTTCCCAGGCATCATTCACTACTGCAGCACTTCACTCTTGCAATTACTTCAGTTGTCTGAATCTCAATACTGAAAGCAAAAGGGAGATGTTTGCACTGAGTCACCTTTACAGTGCGTCCTTCCTTTTCCTTGGAAGTGAAAACTCAGAGAACAACTCTAAATCTGAGTGACAGCCTTGCTCTCATCACTGACTGCCCGCTGATTAGACACGATGGCACCCCACGCCGTCGCACAATCGCGGTCATGCTGAAAAGACAGAAGCCAACCTGAGTTGCCATTTCCATGTCAGCTGCCCAAAGACAAAGGCTGAAACCACGTACAGATTTGGGCCAAATCTCAGGCTGAAGCCAGATACCTCCTGAAGAGCAAGACGCCCGCAATGCCCATCTATCTCATAGATCCACAGATCAGTCTTACTCTCTGCCATCTTATCTCCCATGAAAGGGTGTTTCCTGTCCTTATCTTCACCATCACCTTCTGTTTTTAAATCACCTTTTCATATTGACAGATAGAGAGAGCTTATCACTGACAGGTCTATAGACACCTTCCTAGTAAAAGTCTGGATGGCCTCATAAAATACGTATCTTTCCTGTTTTCTTCAGAATTAAGGAGAAACCCTGCTGCTGTCAGCCAGGCCTTGAAGGACACAGTGAGGGCCATTCAGAGTGGACATCGTGGTTGAATCAGATGCTGCTGGCCAGCTGTGTGGCCTTGGCTGAGTTATGCCACCTCTCTGACTTCATTTTTTTGTGTGTGAAACGCTTGGGGAGCTGTTATGAGGATCGAATGAGACAGCCTTTCGCGTCTGCATCTAGTAGGCATTCAAGAGAAATCTGATGCTGCCAATGTTCTTATGATATGAGTGGTATCTTTTTTTATTTTTAATTTTCATTTTAATTATTCTGAGACAGAGTTTCATTCTTGTTGCCCAGGCTGGAGTGCAATGGTGTGATTTTGGCTCACTGTAACCTCCGCCTCCTGGGTTCAAGCGATTCTCCTGCCTCAGCCTCCCGAGTAGCTGGGATTATAGGCACCTGCCATCACACCCAGCTAATTTTTGTATTTTTAGTAGAGATGGGGTTTCACCATGTTGGTCAGGCTGGTCTGGAACTCCTGACCTCAGGTGATCCACCTGCTTCAGCCTTCCAAAGTGCTGGGATTATAGGTGTGAGCCATCGCGCGGGGCCTATGTGAGCAGTATCAACTCCAGCAGCGCATTAGCTTATAACTGCTGAGAATCTATTATGTGCCAAGCATGGGTCCCAGGTTTGATATGTGTTAAGTAATTTAATCCTCTCAACAACTCTATGATGTCGATACCACCATTATCTTCCTGTGAGACATAAAGAAATGAGGGACAGAGAGGAGAAGTGAAGTCTCTAAACAAGTGAGAGAAGCCGGGTAGCCTTAGGGCTCAGATGGGGAGCCAGGAGCAGAGGGGAGGTACATCATACTCTAGACCCCAGCTGCAAACAGTTGCCTTGGTGTGCCCAGTGATGAGCTCACCTCCCAGAAACACAAAACCTTACAGTTAAAAGAAATCTACATAGCATTCAATCCCCTAATTGTTTATGTAAAAAAATGTAAATGGGTGCTGGTGTCCAGGGAGGGAAAGCCATGTGCCCAAGGCCACACAGAAAGTTGGTAGCAGAATCAAACTGAGAGCCAGGTCTCCTGGCTGAACAGTTGCTGTGCCTTCCCTGGGTCTCAGATCCTTCCAGAGACCACAGAATCCAAGATGTCTCCAAAAACAATTAACAATAATGTGTTAATTAACATAAACAATTACATTTGTGAAGCTTTTTTCTGGGGAAAGGGTCTATACATGGACTACAATAGGGCCTATAATAATCTATAAAACGGTCTATAATGACACGATTAGAACAGTACTGTTAACAACAGCAAATAATATTTATGGACTAGTTACTCTGTCCCAGGAAACACTTTGAATATATATGAACTCATTTGGGCCCCTCAAGAACCCTGTGAAGAGGGTGCTACTCTTATCCCCATTTTGCAGGTGAGGAAGTTGAAGCTCAGAGAAGTTAAATAATGGCCAAGCTCGTGTGGCTGGTTAAGTGGCAGAACTGGCCTGTGTTAGACCTTCTGGTTTCTGTCTTCCCTGATCTGGCATGACTGGTATTATCAGAACAAATTGCTCCGGGTAATATGTTTCTCTCTGATAACAAGACTTCCAAATAATAACCGAGAGTTCCTTAATTTCGAGGCATGAAAGATCCTATAAATTTCTGACATATCCAAAGAACCTAAGAAGCCCTCGTGATCATGGTAATGGGCATGGATCCAGGTATTTCTATACTGACACAACTCTGGGAGTCAAAGCTAGTACATTTACAGGTTATTTCAACAAATCAAGTTTCCTCCTTTCTCAAAGAAATAACCCTTTCCTTTGCTCCACAAACTCTAGCATGAGGGTGACTCTGGGTCTCAATTTGCTTTAGGATTAAGTTCCCAGGTGGACTGAACTGGTGTAACCTGGCTGGTCAAAGAACACCACAGCAGCTGAAAACAAAACCCAGAGCTGGGAGACGTGCCTGCTACCAGGAATCTATGAATAGGCTGTGACTGAAATTGATTTATTGCTCTGGGATTAGATCCTGTATAAGGTGTTCTGCAAAGAGCTGAGCTCTGGCCAAGTTACCAGGATTATTTCCTTCTACACACTCTTGACCATATAGAGACAGCAAAGCAACTCTCCAACTGATGGCTCCGGGACATGCTGGGGAAGGAGAGGACTCATGTTTACCGAGCACTTGCTGTGTGCCAGCCCTGGGCTATGCATTTTACAATACGCAGACATTCATTCTCCCCAGTGACCCTGGGAGGGCACTATCCTTATTCCTGTTTCACAGAGAAGAACGTTGTAGCTTAGAAAGGCAAGCAAGGCCACACACCCAGTATCAAAATAGTGGACGGGTGTCAGAGACAGAAGTTGAATCCAGGTCAATTGTGCTCATGAACCAGGTGTTGCAAGAGCCTGAGGTGGAACAGGGTGTCAGGGCCCCAGGATGTTAAACTCACAGATTCAAGGACCTTAGCAATCATTCATTTCCTTCTTTTATTTATTTATTTATTTTTTTTGAGATGGAGTCTCGCTCAGTCGCCCAAGCTGGAGTGCAGTGGCGTGATCTTGGCTTACTGCAACCACAGTTTCCCAGGTTCAAGTCATTCTCCCAAGTAGCTGTGATTGCAGGCACCCACCATCATGCCCAGCTAATTTTTATATTTTAGTAGAGACAGGGTTTCACCACGTCAGCCAGGCTGGTCTTGAACTCCTGACCTCAGGTGATCCGCCTGCCTCGGTCTCCCAAAGTGCTAGGATTACAGGGATGAACCACCGCACCTGGCCATCTTTCCCTTTTTTTTTTTTTTTGAGACGGAGTCTCACTCTGTCACCCATACCGTTTTGCAGTGGCACAATCTTGGTTCACTGCAACATCTGCCTTCCAGGTTCAAGCGATTCTCCTGCCTCAGCCTCCCAAGTAGCTGGGACTACAGGTGCACACCACCATGCTTGGCTAATTTTTGTATTTTTAGTAGAGTTGGGGTTTCATCATGTTGGCTAGGCTGGTCTCGAACTCCTGACCTCAAGTGATCCACCCGCGTTGGCCTCCCAAAGTGCTGGGGTTATAGGCGTAAGCCACCATCCCCCACCCATTTCATATTTCCTTCTTGCAAATGAGGTCAGAGGCCCAGAGAGGGCAAGTAGCTGGCTAAGGCCACATAGTGAGTCAGGGCTACAGCTGTGACTCTGTCCACGGTTCCTCCCACCTCACTGCACCATCTCTTAAAAGGAGAAGGGGACTCTGTTATCTACAAAGTGCACTCAAGTGGAAATCCTTGGATACTGATGGGTGTCGCGGGACTTTCTTACTCAGATTCCTCCTCTTTGATTTCCTTCAGGCTTTCCAGGAATGTCTCTTCAAGGACATCCAGCTCCTCCAAAGGCGCCCGGAACAGGGAGGTCATGTGGCAAACGAGGACTCGGGCCCGGGCATCATAGTGTCCTTGAAAGACAGAAACAACACCAGGAAAGAATCAGTATAGGTTTCTTTTGTTGTTGTTGTTTCGTTTTTGAGATGGAGTTTTGCTCTTGTTGCCCAGACTGGAGTGCAATGGCGTGATCTCGGCTCACTGCAACCTCCACCTCCTGGGTTCAAGCGATTCTCCTGCCTCAGCCTCCCATGTAGCTGGGATCACAGGCACGGGCTACCACACCTGGCTAATTTTGTATTTTTAGTAGAGATCGGGTTTCACCATGTTGGTTAGGTTGTTCTCAAACTCCTGATCTCAGGTGATCCACCTGCCTCGGCCTCCCAAAGTGTCGGGATTATAGGTGTGAGCCACCATGCTTAGCCCAGTTTAGGTTTTAAACATAGTGATGTCAGCAGTGTAACTGATAAAACTCCAACACCGGAAACATCCTAAATGCACAAACCCATTGGAGCCAGTCAATGAAAAAAATGACACAGCTGTCTGGACAAAATATTACACAACCATTAAAATATTCAGCAAAAGCAAGGTGGGACTGGGTGCGGTAGCTCATGCCTGTAATCCCAGCACTGTGGGAGGCTGAGGCAGGCAGATCATAAGGTCAAGAGATGGAGACCATCCTGGCTAACATGGTGAAACCCTGTCTCTACTACAAAAATACAAAAATTAGCTGGGCGTGGTGGCACGCACCTGTAGTCCCAGCTACTCAGGAGGCTGAGGGAGGAGAATTGCTTGAACCTGGGAGGTAGAGGTTGCAGTGAGCCAGGATTGTGCCACTGCACACCTGGTGACAGAGCGAGACTCTGTCTCCAAAAAAAAAAAAGAAAGAAAAGAAAAAAGGAAGGTGGTATGTCTCATCAGGCAAACAAGCAAAGATCAGTTTTTAAAATTTCACAGCTGTGAAAGAGATGATAAAAATGGGTGCTCTAAGACATTGCTGGTGGAAGTGTGTCCTGGTGTAAACTTTCTAGAGGGCAACTGGATAATATGTATCAAAAACTTTTAAAAAAGTACATCCCCTTTGCCCCAGGAATTCCATTTCTGGAATTCTAATCTTAAAAAAACAACCATAAATGTAGATGATATTAAGTAAATAAAGGCACTACTGCTGTATGTATAATATGAAACTGGAAACAACTTGGAGATGATTTCCAACATCAGGAAATTAGTTAAATAAACTAACCACACCCATCCAGCTGAAAATCATGGGGCCATAAAAAAATGATTCTCAAGGAAAGTATGTAATAACTTTCAAAAATAAATTCTTAGCCAGAAGACTTTATGGCTAAGAGAATTTATGGCTAAGTGGTGGTGTGTGCCTATAATCCCAGCTACTTAGGAAGCTGAGGCAGGAGGATCGATTGAGCCCAGGAGCTCGAGACTAGCCTGGGCAACATAGCAAGACCCCATCTCAATAATAAGAAGAAGAAAAAAGAGACAGTTCTGTTTGGATATTACACATAAAGAAAAAAGGGAAAATAAATGCTTATACAATGAAACAAATTTTGTAATGGATAGAAGATTGACTTGATAATATGTCACAGGGTCCCAACTAAGAAACAAATGAAAAACAAATACTGCACAGGAAAAAAAAAGTGAGGGGCGGCCAGGCGAGGTGGCTCACACCTGTAATCCCAGCACTCTGGGATGCTGAGGTGAGTGGATCACTTGAAGCCAGGAGATCCAGACCAGTCTGGCCAACATGGCGAAATTCCATCTCTACTAAAAACATAAAAATTAGCCGGGCATGGTGGTGGGTGCCTGTAATTCCAGCAATTTGGGAAGCCGAGGCGTGAGTCACCACACCCGGCTGGCATTCAAATTTAGTATCTTACAGTTCTGAAGGCCAGGTATTCTAAAATCAGTGTTAGCAAGGAGGGAATCTGTTTTCTTGCTTTTCCCAGCCTGCTTTCCTTGGCTTGCGGCCCCTCCCTTCCGATCACTCCGACCTCTGCTCCCATGGTCGAGTCTCCTGCTCTTATAAAGACCCTGTGATTGCACTGGGGACTATCTGGGAAGTCCAACATAGTCTCCCCATTCCAAGACACTTAAAGTAATCACACTTGCAAAGTCCCTTTTCCCATGTAGGGTAACATATGCATAGGTGCCGGGGATTAGGGTGTGAACATCTTTGGGGGCCATTATTTTATCACTTAACCCTTGACCTGGCTCAACCATCACCTCCTCTCTGAACCCTCTCCGCATCGCTCCCTCTTTTGGCGGGGTCTGTGGTCATGTACACAGGCCTCTCTCTCAGTATCTTCCCCATTTGACTGTATTCATCATATCTTACTCGACTGTAAGCTTAGTCATCTGTTTTTCCAACCCCTGTACCTCCCTGGGACGTGGCACTTAGCAAGAACTCAAAAAATGTTTACACAATGAATGAACCAATGAATAAACTCTTCTGACTTTGAGGTCAAATTCTTTGTGACTCAACTACCATGAGAGGCTTCCCAATGGAATCTTTTTGACAGAGAAAGTTGCAAGGACCTGGCATTCAGCTATTCTGTACCCATCTGCCCTGTGTGCCCCGGCCCTGTGAAGACATGAGTTATCTAAAACTCGAATTCCCCAGTCCAGCTGCCTATCAGCATGACCTGAGAAGCTTGCCAAAAATAGGGTTTCCTGAGTTCTGGTAGAAGGGACCCTCCTTTCCCTGACCTCATGTTTCCACGTGAGAAGCTATTCAATATGATGCAGCCCCTGAAGTCTTGAAGTTTGAGGTTTCAGCTTCTGCAAAAGAAATCAGTTCCCACCCTGATCCAGGGTCCCCAGAGTGCAACATGGTCTCTTGGGGCTGCCCTGCTATCTCCTGGGATGAGGAGCTGTCTATGTGCTGGGGACAGATACCGCATGCTTGTCTTGGGGTTATTAGGTTCAGTAAACTTCCATGGAAAAAAAGGAGCTCCTTGCTTCCCCATAGGAGCAAAGACTATTTCACCCAGGTGATAATAGGGTTGTAGAAACCAAGCTTTGGCCGCAGTGATTAATTGGTGGCAATTAAAATTAATTGCTAATACATACTCCATTGGTCAAGGCTACAGTGATTCATCTCCTAGCATGCAGACTGCCGGGTGTATGTGTGATTAGCATTCCTGCGGCAATCTCAGGCACGGGTCTTGGTATCTCAGCCTCGTGTAAAGGTCATTTCAAAGACTTAGTGGCTAGGATGCTAGTCTTGGAGCCGGGGTTTGTATTTTTAAGGCGTCTTCCTTCTGGAGGCTCTAGGAGCAAATCTCTTTTAGAAGGCAGTAGGGAGGGAGCACAAGTCCTGGGCTACCCAGGATATTGACATTCTCTGGCCTAGGCTCTACTGCCAACTTGCCAGGGGGCCAACTTGCTCCTTGAGATCCTGTCCCAGTAAAAGGTGCCCCATAGGCCAGGCATACTGGCTCATGCCTATAATTCCAGCACTTTGGGAGGCCGAGGTGGGTAGATCACTTGAGGTCTGGAGTTCAAGACCAGCATGGCCAGTATGGTGAACCCTTTCTGTACTACAAAATACAAAAATCAGCTGGGTGTGGTGGTGCACCTTTGTATTCCCAGTTACTTGGAAGGTTGAGGCAGCAGAATTGCTTGAACCTGGGAGGCAGAGGTTGCAGTGAGCCAAGGTCACGCCACTGCACTCCAGCCTGGGCAACAGAGGGAGACTTCATCTCAAAAAAAAAACAAAAAAAAAAAAAACGTGCCCCATCCACCCTGGGGCTCAGACCATAAGTTCTTAGTTCCTGTTTCCCTGTCCCAACATCCAACCCACCAGCTGATGCTGACAGCTGTACCTCCAGGACATATCCTGGGTCTGACCACTTCACTCTATCTCCACCGCTCTCCAGCCACAGCTGTCTCGCCGCTCTCTCATCTTTCACTCTTGCCTCCACACTCCATTTGCCAAACAGCAGCCACTGAGCTTCTTTAAAGTCACCAATCCGATCGTGTCCTCTCTCTGGCTTAGAGCTCGCTGACACCTCCCCAGTGCACTCAGAATTAAGTCCACATTTCTTTCCATGCTCTGTAAGACCACACATTATCTAGCCCCTTCCTGCTACCCTCTCCTACCTCACCTTCTACCTGTCCCTGCTTCGGGCAAGAAGCCAAGCTCAGGGCTGCCTCAGGGCCTTTGCATTTGCTGTTCTCGATATCTGGGAAGCTCCTTCCCAGATCTCTGCTCAGCCGCTCTTTCCCATCACTCAGGTCTCCAATATCACCTCCTTAGAGAAGCCAGCGGCTCCTGAATTAGAATAGCTCAGCCCCCCAGTCACCCCGTCTCCATTAGCCCATTTCCCTGTATAGGTTTATTGTCTGGCTCTCCCATCGGAATGCCTGTCCCACAAGGGCAGGGACCTTTGCCTTGTTCCTTGCTGTTCTCCCAGGGCCTGAGACAATGCCTGGAAGTTAGTAGGTGCACAGTTAAGATGTGTTGAATCATTAGCTGACAGAAGATCTCCCTTTCCTGCCAGGGTTCTGTGCTGTGTCCACCTGCCCCGGCACACAGAAGACCTTTCCCTGCCTCCCACCTCCACCTGAGTCTCCCTCTCCCTCTCTGGTACCCTCTGAGTCCTGCTCCTCCAGGGGACTAAGGGAGAGTAGATTATTGGGTTAACGCCTCTCTCCTCCCAGTGGGGTCTTCTCTTACAGTGGTGAATTATCCTCAAATGTCATTGTCTTTTTTTTTTTTTTTTTTTTTTTTTTAAAGAAATGGAGGTTTTACTATGTTGCACAGGCTGGCCTCAAACTCCTAGCCTCAAGCAGTTCTCTCGCCTTGGCCTCCCAAGTAGCTTGGACTATAGGTGCATGCCACAAATGTCAGAGGCTTTACAATGCCTGGCACTGAGTGATGAACGTATCTTCTAGATATTTTCTAGATATCTAGAAGATACGTTCATCACTCAGTTCTTTCTGCAAATGTCACCTTCTTAGAGAAGCCCTCCCTGACAGTCTACTGCTTCCTAATCTCTTATTATGAGTTATTTCTTCTTATCTTTTTTTTTTTCTTTTTGAGACAGGGTCTCAC